AGAAAGAGGGTGGATTCACTTACTTCTCCAAGACGCTTCCAATGTCCTAAAGAAAAAGAGACAAAGACTGAAAGGAGCCATTTTCTGTGCAGAGAATTAAACTCTGAAATTCACAGAATAAATGAGTGAATCCTCTGGAAAACCATACACAATAGACATACAAGAAGTACCTCTATTTAAAAAAGAAAAAAATCCCATTTGCTTTTTCCCCAGCCATACACCTCTTTTAGAGATCTATCATTTCTTTTTTACTTTCTTTTATTACTACTATATATAATAAAACATAATAGAAAAAAGAAAAGTAGATTTCAAAAAGAAAATAATATATAACTAGAATAGAAAGAAGTTCCCGAATCAATCTCTGAAGGCCTTTTGAAAAATCCCGGTGGTTATAACTTTGTAGAAGGCCATCAGTGTGGGGGCTCTCCTTGCCCTGGGGATTATTTATTTTATTTATTTATACATCAGATTTGTCACTGCCGATCTCGTTAAAAAGCGACTCTAGGAGGTTTGCAGAAAAGATAAATACTAATTAAAAATACAATATAATAGTCCTAAATAAATAAGTATATTCCAAGGATTGATGGTAATGAGAGTATTAGGCTCAGGGAGCATCCTCAGGGCACCTGCCCCCCCAGGGTTGATTAGAAATCTTATTGCCCCACGCAAGCTGGCAGAGCCAGGTCTTCGGTCCTTTCGGGAGAGCTGGGAGGGTAGGGGTCTGCCGCATCTCTGGGGGGAGAATATTCCAGAGGGTGGGGCGATGGCAGAGAAGGCTCTCCCCCTGGGCCCTGCCAGGTGACATTCTCTTGCTGACGGGGTTCATAACATGCCTTCTTTGAAGACTGGGTGGGACGGGTCGATGTAACGGGGGTGAGACGGTCCCTCAGGTAACCTGAACCCATGCCATGAAGGGCTTTAAAGGTAATAACCAACACCTTGAATTGGACCCAGAAGCAAACTGGGATGCAATGCAGCTCCCGCAGCAAAGGTGTTATATGTGCCATCCTTGGGCACCGAAGACTGTTTGCGTGGCTGCATTTTGAACCAACTGTAGCTTCCAGATACTCTTCAAGGGTAGCCCCATGTAGAGCGCATTGCAATAGTCTAAAGAGAGATGACCAGGGCATGAGTGACTGACCAGAGGGCCTCTTGATCCAGGAAAGGGTGCAACTGGTGCACCTCACGAAGTTGGGCAAAGGCCCTCCTGGCCACGACTGCCACCTGCTCCCCGAGCAGGAGACATGAGTCCAGAAGGACCCCCAGATTATGCACTGGGTCCCTCCAGGGCAGAGCTACCCTGTCCAAAACCAAAGATGGTAAATCCTCAGATGCAGAGGGGCCTCCAATCCACAGCCACTCCGTCTTACCAGGGTTCAGCTGAAGCCTGTTGTCCCCCATCCAGACCTCCACAGCCTCCAGGCACCGCAAAAGGGTGGTCACAGCATCACTCAAGTCACCCTGGATGGAGATGTATAACTGGGTATCATCTGTGTATTGATGATACTTCATCCCATGGTGGTGGATGATCTCACCCAGTACTTTCATGTAGATGTTAAAAAGGAGCGGAGAGAGTGCCAAACCCTGCGGCATCCCACAATAGAGGGGCCGTGGGCTGGACCTCTCGCTCCCAATCAACACTGGGGTCAACCTTGGAGGAAGGAAGAAAACCAGTGCAAAATTTTGCCGCCCCCTCCCAATTCCCCAAGTTGACCCAAAAGAATACCATGGTTGATGGTATCGAAAGCCACTGAGAGGTCAAGAAGAGCAAGGATGGATGTACTACCCCCATCCTGCTCCCACCAGAGATCATCCATGAGTGCAGCCAATGCTGTTTCCATCCCGTAGACAGGCCTGAAACCTGACTGAAAAGGGTCTAGATAATCCGTTTCCTCCAGGATCTTCTGGAGCTGCAATGCCACCAGCTTCTCAACCACCTTCCCAGAAAGGGGAGGTGGGAGACTGGACAAAAATTGTCCAATATGGTGGGATCCAGCGATGGTTTCTTGAAGAGGGGGAAACACCAGCACCTCTTTAAATGCAGCTGGAAACACTCCCTCCCTCAAGAATGAATTCACCATCACCTGGACTCATCCACAGGTCACCTCCCAAGTAGTCTTAACCAGCCAGGAGGGGCATGGATCTAGTTGACAAGTGGTAGCATTGATCGTCCAGAAGACCCTGCCCACTTCCTTGGGTTCAACAGGATCAAACTGTTCCCAGATAACAGGGTAAGTCCGTACCCTGGCATCTCTACAGACCATGCCCCACGTTTGGTATCAAGATTAAGTTGTCCCACAGGAAGGGAAACCTACACCACCACGTCCCTTAGCAGCAATAAGAACCCTAAGCAGACAGTCTTAAAGCCATTAATGGCTTAGAGATACCGACCAGCACTCTAAATTCTATTGCTTCTGCATGTCCTCGTTTTTCTGAATTATCTGTCCTGACATATTAGCCATTAGTCTTCATACAGATAGTCCTTCACTTATGACCACAATAGGGACTGGAAAATTCATCATTAAGCACTGTGGTTGTTAAGTGAGGTGCCATATGACAACACCCTATTTTACGACATTTTTTGCAGAGATAGTTAAGTGAATAACTGCAGTGGTTAAATGAATCAAGTCGTTAAGCGAATCATGCTGTTGTAAAGTGAATCACACAATTCCCCATTGATTTTGCTTGTCAGAAGCTGGCTGGAAAGGTCACAAATGGAGATTATGTGACCCCGGGATGCTGCAACTGTCGTAAATACATACCAGTTGCCAACCACCCTAATTTTGATCACATGACCATGGGGACACTGCAATGGTTGTAAGTGTGAAGACTGCCCATAAGTAACTTTTTCAGCACCATCATAACTCTGAACGGTCATTAAACGAATGGTCGAAAGTCAAGGACTACCTGTATTTTCCTATTTCCTTTCCTTGGAAAGAGTCAAAAACAGTATTTCTGTGGTGGATCTAAAGTAGTCCACTCCACTCCATCATCTCAACTTCATACCTTACCTGTAAGAGTTTGCTTGCTGGCTGCTGATGCTTCTTCTCCATCTCCTGGATGAGATCCTCAAGAGAGGAAAGTTCCTCCTTGACTTTGGCCAGACCAATGTGCCTTATTGCCACAATCTCGTTTTTCGTCTTTTTCGTTCTGACCAGCAGAAGCTTCTTCTGTTCTTCCAACCAGCGTCGTAGTTCTCTGAACTCAGCCACTGTGTTTTCTCTCTCTTTTTGGATTAAGTCCTAGAACAAGAAGATGGAAAAGGCAAAGGTCATCTATTATGATAATTTAACGGATTCACTGAAGAGTCCAGAATTGAGATGGGAGGATTTCCTAGGGAAAAAAACCCTTTTGAATTTTGAACCATTTTGACATCAACGAGAGCAGGGGGAAAGGTTTCTAAAAACCAGAAAAAGGCTCCACTTTGAAATGATCTTTCATGAACATTTTCTGTAGGAGATCAGGCCATTCCAAAAAGTAGGCAGAAAGAAAGTTTCAGTTCACACTTTTCAGTAAGATGAAATATGGTTTGCGTTAATATATTATGCAAACTGGACCCCTGTTTTCTAAACCATGGTTTATGTGATATGTGCACTTAACCCAACTGTGACTCATTCAGCCAATTCTGATAAATAATCCATGGGACATCCCACTCAAAGAAACGTTCTTTCATCTTCTGAAACAGATTCAGGATGGGTTCACTTCTTAGGAAAAGCATTACTTACAAGCAGACCACGGCCCGTAAGCTCAGAAGCTCATCACCGCTGGATCAATACTTACAAGCATCTCCTGCACTTTTTGTTCTGTTTCTGTTTTGTATTTAACAATTTTTTCTTTCTCCTCCTTCCGAGCCCTCAGGCAATCGCGAATCTTGATCTGAAGAGAAAATATAGGTTTTGAATTTCTTTTCTTTTCGAGGTTTTCCGTAAAGATTTACACGTGAGGGAAAACCTAGTTACACGATCTGATGCTTCTTTTAGGAATATCTCCCCCTCCCACATGGCAATCTTTTTTACCAAACAAATAGGTCTAATAAATCCCATGCTATAAATTTCCATACAGCATGGAAAATAGGGAAGGAAAACAAATGCATTCCCAATACATTTACATCCAAATTGTTTCTCAGGCCCTTCAATTTCACACTTTTGGGAGAGGAGCTGGGGGTAAATGTTTTCTTTCTTAGATCGCAAATATCAAAGGTGGAGGCGCCTTTTTAAATGGCGCAATCAAAAGCTTGAGCCTTGAACGTTTGAAAAGTTAAACCCTTTCATAATTAAATCAAGCAAGGCGTTTTCACAAGTGCAAAATGGCAGTGTTGCTAGAGAGTGTTGCAAAATTATGGTTTGGGCAGGAGAGGGTGAAGGACCCCAGGAGAAACAGCCTGAACTTTCTTCAACAGCCCTGGGGAGGGTTTCCTGTTCAAGAGGAAAGGGGAAGGTCGATGGTCCCGAGGAGAAATAACCAAGAGGTCCCACCGTGCTATAAAGCCATTATGGAGATGGAGAAACAGATGCCTTTTGCCAGCTCACCTTCTCTATTTTTTTTTAATTTAAATTTTATTAAATTTTAGAAACAGAAAGATAAAAACTAACAAGAACTAATTATTAAGAAAAAGAAAGGGAAGAAAAGAAAGTGTAAAGTGTAAAGAGAACTATTTACTTAACTTGGCCCTGTGCTTGGATTTCAGCACAAAGGTTTTTCAAGCAGCCCCCAAAGCCCTGTACGAAGCTGTTTCGGGCAGCCCCCCAAATTCCATGCATATAGAGCCCTTCGTTCAGCAGCATCATAACTTCAAACGGTCGCTGAATGAGTGGTTGTTAAGTAAGGACTACCCGTATGGAACTACATGTACCTGTGCACACTGTAGGATAATTACAGTCTCCTAGGACAGTGGTTTGTTTGAGCAGAGACAGAGAATAAAGTTAAATATAATTCTCCATGTTTGCTTAAGAAAAAAGAAGAAACGTATTACATTTTTACAAGCGAAATCATATTTTGATGAAGGATAGCCTTCTAAGATGACTAATGTGGTAATAAACTGTACTAAACCCCATTCACTCTGGCCTTTGGTGATGGAGAGCGAGACCGCTCACTTCTTCACACTTGCCATCTTTTTATCTTTAATATTTTATTGATTTTATTGTGATTTCTTTGGTTGATGGCTGTGAACTGCCCATAAGTCACTGAGAGTCAGGTGGCATACGAGGAGGAGGAGGATGACGACGAAGACGGGTGGGACCACACTTCCGATTTGGGAATGGCGCTGTAGAACACGTCTCACTTCTCTCTCGATTAAAGGGCTTTCAAACTCCTGAATTATCAGACCTTGTGGATAAAGACTGTTTACTGAGTAATTAAATTTTTTATTTCATACTATCGTGCTTCTAATAAGCTACTGGCATGGAAAATAAATCTAAATGATCAACAAACTAAATTCGGCTCAGCTACAAGTTCTGAAGCCAATTCCACAAGACCGGCTGAGCTTAAGAATGATCTAAAGCAGACGCAGGAAAAAATGGCTAGTTATGAAGATCGATTATACGCCCATGAGACTATAACACAAGCCAGTCATAATATTTTGGATAAACAAATTACTTATCTAGAATCACGACTGCGTAGGAAAAGTCTATGAGTGATTGGTATTGAGAACCCCCCAAGTCAACTAAATCTGGCTAAATTTATGGAGGATTTTTTTTTCGGAAAGCTCCTCTCTTTAGGAACAGACTTTCCAGTTGAGATTGAACATGTGTTTAAAATTCCTCTGATGAGGCAGAAGACTGGAAACTAGTTCCAATATCATTATTGTGCAGTTCCTTCATGTTACCACAAGAGATGAGATTTTACATCTATTTTGCCAGGAATCAGTAAAGTCTCCATTGAAGTGGAGTCCCAACCAAAGTAAGATATCAATTTATCCTGATTTTACCACAGAAGTTTCAGGTAAGAAAGTTTTTAAAAGCCTGAAATTTTGCTAGATCACCACAACTTCAATATTTCATGCGATTTCCAGCAACATTCTGCATTAAGTATCAAGTACGCAAATTTGTCAGTCCCTTGAATGTAGAGGCCTGTATGCTATCATTGAAATCTGCTGATGGAAAAACCTGATTTTGTCTCATTTTATAGTAATGGCTAAGGGAGAAGTCTGAGGCAAGCCTCATTTTAAAAGATTCTTCAGTTTTCACTTTTTTTTCCTGTATTCTTGTCAACTCCATGATAATGAATCTGGGCATATTGCCAACTTAAGTCTTTATCTCTATACTGTATTTTCCATATTAGTTTAAATGAGTATTTGAAGCTGTTCTGTATATTTACTTATAACAGGAGAAATGAGCTACAGTGCTACACCACTCAGAAGTCGTGTATTTCTTTCTATTTCTTCATTCTTCTGTTTATCTTTAAGGTGTTTTCCAGTTTTTATAACAATGTTACTTGCTTGTTGTTTTATTTTCTTGCACTTAATCGTGTTTCTCTTTTTTTCTTTCAAGTTTAGATTCTATATATATCTAATACAATGCTATTGGAATATTAATTTGAGTTCCCATGCAGGTTCTAGACCCATGAGCAATATTTAAAAAGATGATATTTATTTATTTATTTAATTTCTCCCCCGCCCATCTCCCCCCCCCCCAATGGGGGACCCGGGCCACCCCCACACAACAACAAGAAAAAACAAACAAAAAAAAAAATAAATAAAAACAATATTAAAA